CTGAAGTCCTAAAGGAATCTCTGGCGACAGGGAAGAAAGCCCGATCTCAGCCAGGGTGTGACACCAGGTAGAAAACAAGGAGACCTTCATTCTGGCTATTACTAGGCGGAGCTCAAGCTGCTTCCCCTTCTGCTGCCTCAGTTTCCCTTTCCACACTAGCACTGCCTGGCCACTGACCATACGATTCAAAGGACCTGGTTTCGAACGTGGCTCTCCTCGGCGCTCACGGCTGGCCGGAGCGAGCTTCACAGCAAAATCACAGGTGTGCTGAGCTGGGCTGCGTGGGCTCCTGCTCTCCCCAGACACTGCGAGGTTGGCTGTCATGCGGGGAACGGTGGCTCCTAGCAGACTGTCTCCCCCCACCCGGTACGATTCTGGCAGAGGTCGGACCCCAGGGTGAGTGGTTAGTGAGTTACACCATTCTTCGCGGGGCCCTGCATAGCGTTCAGAGTGCATTCACTGTGACGTTGGACACACCACATCGAGCATTTGGAAAGAAAAGCCAGAGAACAAAGCCACAAACACCCCGAGGCAAGAATGGAAAGTCTGGAAACACAGCCCTGACACGGGTGACCAGAGCACAGAGTAGGGAAAGGAAACGAGAGGCACGTACGTGTGGGTCTCGGGTCGGGGGCCTCGGAACCAGCACTTTCCCCAGGAAAGCCGAGAGGCTCTGCCACGTCTGTGTCAGGAGGAGGGTAGGGCGGGGGTGGGGGGAGCACTAACTGGGGGGGCCCCCGAGCAGTGCCTCTGGGAGGCTTTTGTGGCACCTGCCGTCGTCCAACACCTACATGGAATCAACGGGGGTTACTTCAGAAGGTTAAGCCGAAAGACTCTGCCCTCCAGCGGGGGACACGTGGCATCATTCCCCCAGGCACCAAACACAGCCTCATGGCACCAATCCAGACACACCCAGCACCAAACCCAGACACACCCGGCATCCGATCCAACCACACTCGGTACCAAAGTCAACCTCACCTCGAGCATCAAATCCAACCACACCTGTCATCAAGTCCAGCTACACCCGGTGCCAAAAGTCAACTTCACCAAATGGAACCGCACCTGCCACCAAAATCCAGCCACGCCCGGGACCAAATTCAAACTCGCAAGGCATCAAATCCAATCTCACTCACGCTTCAGAATTTTACACACGGTGTCCTCGCCTTGGGCCAATCTGGTGATACCTTCTTGTTTGCCGTGTGTTTCTGGCAAGCACGACTCCTCTCCGATGCTGGGCTTGAAATTAATTATTCTTAAAAGCCCCCTCGGCAGGTGCGTTAAGTTAAAAGGAACTCCTTTTATTCAGGTTTGTTTGTATTAGGTTTGCGGAATTATCTTTTAGCTTACTTTTGTTACTTTTATCGATTAATTCTTGCAGATCGAAGAACCACTAATTCAGCTCACGTCTTTAAGCCTGTTTATATCCTCAATCTCTTCCATCGTTTAGGGTAAGAGTCTTCAAACTTTATTTGAAAAGGGTCCCAGGGCACCTGGGTGGCTCAGTCGGTCAAGCATCCGACTTTGACTCCGGTCATGATCTCGTGGTTCGTGGCTTCGAGCCCCGTGTCGGGCTCTGACAGTGTGGAGCCTGCTTGGGATTCTCTCTCTCTCTCTGCACCCCCCTCCCCGCTCATGTTTTCTCTCTCTCTCAAAAAATATATAAATAAACTTAAAAAAAATGAAGAGGGTTGTGACTTGGGCAAAGTGTTCGGGGTGGCGTCGTGCTCCATCTGACCCTGGAACCCTCAGGGCATCCCTCTCTGCTCTTGACACACTGGGCATCCGCCTGCCATTTTATAGGAAAAAGATTTTCTTCTGCTACTAAGATTTTTGAAAGTCAGTGACTTAACAGAGCCATATAAATCACTTGTGTCGTAAGCCATGCTTCCTAGGATTTCTTTTAGAAATGTTTTCTTCAAGCTTTAATGTCTGAAGATCTTTTTTTTAATGTTTGTTTATTTTGAGGGAGAGAGACAGAGTGAGTGAAGAAAGGGGCAGAGAAAGTCAGAGAGAGAGAAAATCCCAAGCTGACTCACACAGTCAGCGCAGAGCCTGATGTGGGGTTTGAACTCACGGACCGTGAGATCCTGACCTGAGCCGAAACCAAGAGTCAGATGCTTAATCGACGGAGCCACTCAGGCACCCCCAAGCTTTAATGTTTAGGATCATCTTGTAATGAATACATTCTGTGTTTCATGACCATCATCAGATTATTAATAAAAAGATTAAGAAATATAATTTCTTCATCAAGAGATATATCCAATCTCTTGATTACAGTTCTTCCAACGTGGAAAAATATGGATGCCCCCATAGCTAGACGTCACTTCTCCCTTCCAAGTGCAAAGAAGCCACGATTGGTCTGGGTGAGAGCTATCTGTTTGGTCCAGGTAAGTAACGTTAAATGAGAGGGCGTCCCCCTAGGGCGACACACGTAGGAGGAAGAGGCTTTGTGCCGAAAGCTTTTCTACTGGAAAGCTTATTTTTGTTTGCCAAGAAATTTGGGTCAGACTCAATTCCAGTAAAATAATACTATTTTAGTGCAAGTTCTAATTTTTTCCCCCTTTTATATCTAGATATCAGAATAGAAAGATGCTTTTGTGTGTGTGTGTGTGTGACTGAACAGGGGCTACTTTAAAGATTTTTACCTGTTAACGTAAAGCCTAGACTTTGGTTCAAAGAGCGGCCTGTGGGCGGCTAGCGTGCTGTGAGTTCATGGGGATTGCTGATGGGGACACAAGTCTCACTGAAAACTGCCACCATGACCTCTACCACCCTCCTGAGCTCCCAAAGCAGCCAAGGTCCCTTTCAGTAGGAAGGGGGCTTCTGGCTTCCTTCTCCACCTTCACAAACCAAAGTTCACGGACGACAGACAGAGACAGAGAGAGACAAGTAGTGCATCACTGCCGTCCTCGCAGGGGAACTGTCCCTACGGTTTTCATTTGGCAAACACCCGCCTCCCTCTCCTGTGACACCCGTGGGCGCTGGCTGCCTGCCCACACCCGGGCCAGGTCCTCCAAGCATCAGGCCTTCAAAGCCGAATTGGGGGGGGGCCCTCCCTTGGGTTGAAACGGGGTGTCTGGCCTGGAGGCTGGCAGGGCTCAACCACAGCCATACCACCACTTAGAGTGGACGCTTCCTAGGGTTGTGACAAGGGACTGTACATCCGAGCTGTCATCCCTTTACAGCAAGAGTGGGTGAGAGCTCGGGAGGGAGAATGGTGGTCTCGTCATAAAAGAGGGAGACACCCCAGATTTATTTCGAGGAGCTACTGATCATGTGCTCTGCGAACAGGACGGTATTTTCCTTTGGTAAAAAGAAAAAACGGACGTGAAATATAGGTTACTGGTCCTTAGGATAACCACGTCTCTGGCTGTGAAAGGCTAATATCAGAAGAGAGGTATTGACCAGGGGGGAAAAAATGCTACAAACAGCCAAGTAGCTTGTATTGGAGTCTGGGACACTGATGATGCAAGCACTTATCCTTGGGGGGGGCTTCTTTTTGGGGGCCACAGCCATTAGGTCAAGGCCAAAACACGAGGGTGCTGAGTGGAGTGAACGGCGCTGGGCATGGCCGTCGGATGGCCTCTGTCGTGAGCTGATCCTCCCGTGATCTCAGGAAACACCTACTCTTCCTTTTCCTCCATAAATGAAATAACAAACACTGAATGGTTTTAAAATTACATTCACCAGGGGCGCCTGGGTGGCTCAGTGGGTTGAGCGTCTGACTTCG